TTAATTTTTGATGACATAATTAGAACTTAAGGCTTTAATGTGTGCTTTTTTAGTTTACTTTTCAAAAGATTTAATTTTTAAAGACTCAGGGGATACGGAGGGCTTTGCGGTGGGAACTGGAGCAGGAAGAAGGGGCGGACTCTGAGTAGGTTTGAGTGCTGATTCAGAGTACTCTATTAAGCCAAGAGAGATGAACTCATTTTTTTCCTCTCTTGGGGAATCAGACAAGAAACAGGAAGTCATTGATTCTAAGTAAGATCATTCACTCTGCAATTGTAAACAGTGTGTTATGTGCCTGTAAATATTTTCAGAACCCATTGGCTTGTTGGAAAATCCGAAGTAAATTATTACGATCTCTAGCAAACAACCCACCATAAAAAAGGTTATTTTCAATCTTTTTATCTGTAATGTTTATACAGTGGAATATTAATTAGCTTGGACATTGAGAAACTCCTTGGCTGGACACACTGTTCACTGCCAGAAATCCATCTACTCAAATGCTTTGTCTGTTGAAAGACAAACATTTTTAACTCCACCCTATAATATTGTGCCCTACCGAAAGCAAAAATTCTTTCATTACTTGATCCGTTTGGGTTTCCACTGCCACAAACATTGAAATATCCCACTGTTAACCAGATGTTGGCTGCGTCCCTTTTTGTCTCATGTAGCTGAATAGACAATCTAATAGCAAACTGCCACTCCTCATTACTTAGGAGAGCAGAGTCCAGGCTGTCTGTCCAGATCAACCTGCAGCTGAAACTTCTTCTTCCCTCTGTAAAGTAGGAGAAGCTGGTGCTTGGAAGTGCCACCTTTTCCCTTAGAATGGGGGGACTCTGCATAAGGAGAGAAGAGCACGGATTAGGGATGGGACAACGGTGAGCAAGTTGCTTCCCTGACAGTCCAAGGAATTTTCTGCCAAGCTTAAAAGATGGGGGGGAATGGTAAAAGGCACAATAAGTGTCTTGGTCAGCTCGAAGGATAGCAGTTGAAATGCTTGTGTACTTAATTTTTAGAACTCAGATGTTGTAGGATCGACTCAGGAAGCTATCTTATTAACATGCTTAAATCCTAGTGATTCTATAGGGATTCCTGAGTGGAAGATTCCTGAATAGGGATGGTTGTAACCTCTGGCTTAGCAGCTTGAATCATACTCTGCCAGACCAAGAGGAAGAAGGAGCCAAGAATGGAGCTGTTATCTTCAGACAAGTGATTGTGGTGAAAAACTGACAAATTTTATTCAGTTTTTCTTTCCTAATTTTTCTTCTAACTTAAGATATGGAGTGAAAAAACCAAGGAAATTAGGAAGAAGATTTTGAGCCAGTTTTTCACCTGTTGAGCTATGATGAACTTGAGAGTGATGCAAGACTTGGGAAATTTAGAGGAGAACTAGAAAATATTACTGTAGGAAAGTGAAGAACTTTTTGGAATCCTGCTGATGACTTTGATCTGTCTTGTGATGCTTTGCCTTTACCTTTTTTCTTACTGTTGTCAGAAGCAGTGGAAAAGATAGATGCATAGGTCCAGCTCCAGCTGAGGGGTTTCAACTGGGGCTACCTCCTCCAACACTGGGAGGAAGGGAAGTGCTTGAACCTAGGCTTCTGAAGTTCTGGAGTAGTCATGGGGAGGAGGACTCTCCAAGGTGTTAATTAATCCATGCTGACTATGTCAAGACTTGCAGTATGGAGATCTGTATTATGCATGATTTTCCTGTGTCAGCCTCCTTCGTTACACTGAAAATGCTGGCTACTTGCCTTTCCTTGTGAGGATCTCACTTTTCATGGCATAGGTGACAAACATGCAATATAACCTTATGACTAGTAGTTTTTTTCTTTGTTGTTATCTTCCATCTTCCACTGAATGGAGGTTTTTATATCTGTTTGTTATTTCTGAGATAAATTGGATACTTAGGAGCTATTCAGGCTTCATTTTCAAAGCCACACCTAAGTGTTCAAAGCCCTGCAAAGGCCAGGGCGTTTGCTTAGCAAGGGAACTTCTTAGAGTGAATGGTTACATTCAACCTTCCACTTACTCTTTATTAAACTGTCTACAAACACTTGGAACGCAACAGAACCCAGTCCTTCTGCTTGCACACAGATGATTTTCTTGGCTTCTCAGACTCAAACCACGATGAGCCAGCTCTCATCCTGAATAATTTTTCCAGTACTGCTTGTCCAGAAGGGCATTGAGTTTAATTTCCAGAAGACATGAGCTGTTAAATGGGGATAAAAGCCCAGATTTGAAACCAAAACATGCATGAACCAGGATGTCCTGAGATCTGCAACAGCTAATGCAAAGGGATTGTTTTTCATGTGTGTGGTCTGTTAGGAACCATTTGCTCACCTGCCTTTGCATCTGGAACCAGAAACTCCTCTTTGCATCTCATGAAGGATATTAAATTTTAAACACAATTTGATTAGACATAAGAATTTTAAAACACTTCTAAAAGAGTCATCTGCCAAACATTTAACTTGCATAAAACCAAATGTTCTACTAACACACAGACAGTTACACCTATGTAAGGCATTTTCTAAGCAAAAGCTCAGTTCTCTACAAGCCTCTCCTGCGTAAGAAAGGATATATACAGTAACTGAAGATTAAGATCCGTGAAGTGTCGCTGCTTATCAAGGAAAACTAATTGCAGCCCCAAAATTTTAGGAGAAATTAAAATGTGATAAAACTAAATATTAGCAACACAGATTTCAGAATTTGATAGTTATGATTAGGGCTTTTGTAAACTAGTGTATTTTTACTAAGTTTTATGAAACTGTACATGTATAAAATTTGGGGACATTCTTAAGATTTATATAAAATAGGTTAGTGTGCATAGTAAAAAAGTCAGACATTAAATACATACTCAATTTGATATGGGGATTTTTTCCCTTTTTTTTCCAGCATAAATATGGCTGAACTTTCAGAGCCAGATGGTACTGTAAACTGGAAGGAAAGATGTTTAACTTTGGAGTCACAGTTAATGAAATTTCGTCTCCAAGCAAGCAAGATCAGAGAATTGCTAGCAGAAAAGGTAGGTCTCATCATATGAATTTTAATGCTGTATAAATTATTTTATAATGGGGGCTGATCACATGTCATGGTTTGAGATTACAAGTACCGAGGTTTTTTCAGAAGGGGAAAAATAGCATTTTAAAACAAAATATATGGACAACAGGTATGTTTTAATGCTGTAAAAGAATTTCACACATCAGAATTGCCAGAAAAAAATGTTCATTTTCAAATAAGAGCGCACTGGCAACTCTCCTGCAGAAAAAAATATGTATCCAGTAATCACTTTTACAACATTGAAATTAATATTTAACACATTTATTAAGTATTTAAAATGTGATTTAAGACACAGAAATCATTGCAGAGAAAATCCAGAAGTATTATTTCCCCCAGTATTCCTGACTGAATTGAGTAATTTACCAGATTTTATTTTCCTATAATAAGACACTTCCAGCTATGGCTCATCACCTGAGTCTGGGGACCCAGGAAGTTGAAAAGTATTGTATCATTTAATTTGAAGAATACCGTTTAAATATATACTTAATTGCTATTAGAAAGCAGTGTAGGTAGAAACTCTAAACTGTTTACCTAATCATGCAATTTTTCTGTATGGCAAACCCTCATTGAAGAGGTATTGCAGAATATTGGGTTTTGAAAGAACAATAAGCTGTTCAAAAGCCATCCTTTAAAATTTCATTTAAGAATAAAAAAAATAAAAAAGGAAAGCTACTTGTGTCTTTCATTCCAGTTTGCAAGGCTCATAGATAAGTTAATGAGTTACTGCCATCAGTCTTGGAGGAAAGAGTACAACAGTGTCTTCTGTAACACTCCACAAGATTATTGGATGCTTACACAGTTGGAGCTGTTAGATCATATATATCTGTTCTGTGTCTTTACCCCGTTTGGACCACTGCATTTTCAGATTCTGGATGGAAGTCAAGTGGCTAAACAGTGGACATGACTGTTCTGGGAACTTTCCAGCAGCCCTAACTACCATGTTTTATGTGGCTGCTGCTGATTATAGTTTTGGCAACCAAAAAGTTACAATTCATGAACAGCCCTTCACAATACAATCTGAGTTTAAAGAAAATATTTTAGAAATTTTAATGCTTTCTATTTGACTTTTCACTTTCTTCCTTTACAGTTTGCATTTACAGGCTGTTAACTGCTAGAAATATCCCCTTAAATTAACAGAAATATATGCATAATCATGTCATTTCAAATATTGGCATTAAAAACCCCCAAACAAGCAGAATAAGGGGGATAAAATCACAAATCTTCAGCACTGTGCCTGAAACAAAGCACTTCAAGGCAAATTACACTCTCACATCTGTGATAAACATGACTCCAGAATAGTTTAAAAAATCTTAAGCACTTGTCATGTTACTGCCCTCTTGTTTTAATTTGCCTTATCTTTCTCAGAAATTTTAGAAAAAGTGAAGCGTTTACAGGAATTGCAAATGGGAGAAATGTTTTCTGGTGAAGACCACAGGTCCACCAAGTATTCAGTTGGGGTAATTTGATATATTGCTCTCCTGAGCAGGGCATTAGCAGACTTCTTGAAAAATAATCCTTCTCCTTACTTTGTCACTTTGACTTTTTAATATGAATCTTTCAGTCATCAACTGGAGTTCCGCTGGGATATGCATTCAAGACTGGTCAGAGCTCAACAAAATGAGATGATATTCATCTGCAAGTTTAGCAGTCTTGAAGAATTCAAAACCAACCGTGTTCAAAAAGGGAACTAAAGTGTTTGTGTGTATTTGGGCATTGGTTTTATTTGCCAGTAATCCAGCGGTTATTTTTTCCACATATTTAGTTTTTGAAATTATACAAACAATTCTCAGTATTTGTTACAGGAAAGATACACTCACGGTAGTTTGAAATTAAACTGCATGGAACTGTTTCTCACAAATATGTTTGAGAAATAGCAAAGTGAATAATTAAGACCTGATTGGCCAGTACTTGATGATCATCCTGATATTAATGACGAAGAATAATACAGCTGATGTCAGCCTTTATAGGTACTTTCTAGTACCCATTTGTTACCTGTTACAGAATGAGACAAATTGGCAAAGCACATAAATAATTCTCACTCTTACTTTGATTAGCACAGGCCTTTATTTGTGGTTTTGTTTACAATCATCTCTATGCTATGAAATGTGTACTAAAACATTGAACAATAGCACCAGACAGTGTTCCACTTCAAAATAGCAACAGAAATCACAGTACTGTGGCGTGACAGACATAAAACCCTGTGGGTATTATACTACGTAATTGTTGTAAAAAACCGTAAGAATGATATTGTGACAAAAACAGGTAGTCTCTACAGGAAGGTAAGAGAAATGAATTGATGGTAATTCTCTAGCCTTTCTCTGCATGTGTTTGAGAGGTATCTCTTCAAGACAGTGAATCAGGAAAAGGAGTTTACATCCTATTATACTATGTGTAGGGCTTTTCAGAAACCGCCATTGAGTTTTTTCCCTTATATTTGTTATATTTGTTAACTTAGTCTAAAACCAGATTTAAATAAGGGATTGCTTGAATCTATCCATTTCCAATATTTGTATCTGTGACCTGTGTGCTTCTGTAAATGTATTCAGGCTGTGGATTAATTGAAGTACTTTTCTTACACACTAGAAATTAAATACCTTTGCATAGTTATCTTATTTAACATTGCCCCTGCAAATAAATGAACAATCAATATGAAAAGTCTTGAGTGTATTATTCCAGTAGATGTGTTCAAATTTAGAAAAACAAACTATTTACTGTGTTTTGTAAGTTTAGTGAGTAGTCATCCTTGAACCTTGGTGGTTGAGGAGGTTGAGAAATTTGCATTGTAAATGTGTTTCTGCAGTCTAGCAGAACTTAAATTTTTTAGTGAACTCGGGAAAAAGAAGAGAGAGAAGCAACAGAATACACAGTGTTTTCAGAAAACTTAATCCATTCACTGTTGTTTATTAGTTTGAGTTTTTAATATTTTTTCATTTTGCCAAGTAAAGAGTCTATATTTATAAATCTAATGTGCAAAGAATGAGACCTTGTTGGAGTTTTAAGCAGAAGCTGCTGCTGTAAGTGGGAGAGGTCTTTACAGGAATTTAAGGAATGATGTAGAAAGTATCCTAGTATGCCAAATTTAGGATGCCTGTGGAACTGAGTTTTAAGCAGAAACCTTTATTTTAATGCAGCTTGAGTCTTACGTATAAGAAGAGTTTACTAAAAAAAACACTTTGTTGAATAAAAGATTACAGTGTTATACTGAAAGTTAAGATTCCAGCTGGCATTTCAAGTCATAGGAGAAGTTAGTGACCTTCAGTCTTTTCATAGTAAGTACGTTTTTCACCTAAAATATGTGTGCAACATCAGGTGTAAAGTTAATGTTCTTCCTACTGCTAAAATTTCTTTTAGTAGGAGAACTACATCTCTGTCTTAAATTCCCACTTGGGCAGCCTCCACTGAATTTCTTTTTCGTGAGACCCTGTAAGGACTGAATATGGCACTAACCCAAATGTTGCATTATGGGCTGTCCAGTAATACTCAACATTCACATGAACATCTCCCAAGTTTGTTTCCTTCAGTGCTGAGGGTCATTATATTGTGCTTTAAGTTATTTTCATATGTATATTGGTTTGTTTGCTTTTAACCTTTCATTTGGATATTCTCTGTATACATGCTCAGCTGGCAACCAAGTGTGTAGACGACAAATGCCATAATATTTACACTTTCCGTGCAGTTTATGGAAACGGAATGATAACCAACTTTTAGGCCAAATACTATTTCCTACATATTCCAAAGCATAACACATTTCAAACTTTGTCTTACAAACCAACAGCTAAATCCAGGTCCCATTGTATTTTTATTCATTTAACAGTCCTATTTATGGTATGTCATTTGACATTTGAAAATTAAGCAGATGCAGTATGTTTTGTTATCTCTGGCATGACAATTTCATGTTTAATGTTTTCAGAGGCAAAGTCTATAACACATTTGACTTAGGCAGTGATTGCCAATATGAAAACTGTAAAAAAAGCACAATGAGTATTTCCATTCAAAGGATTATGAGGGGTAAACTAAAAGGGAGCAAAGTACCATTGAACCAAAATTATTCAAATGAAGGTTATTTTTCAGTATTTCATTCCTCTTAAAAGACTTCTTGTCATGGAAAATACATTCAGATGCAATTAAGAAGATACAGGAGAAAGCAATGAGAGTTAAAGAGAATAAACATTTCTATGGCTAGAGTTTTAGGTCTGTTTACAGCTTTTTAATACCTACACATTTTTCTTATAGTTTCATTTTTATGCTTTGTCTATTATTAAGTTTTTCTATTTATTATAGAAAACTATAATAGTTTTCTATTATACTGTTTTATAACAGTAGAGGGTTTTTTGTTGTTGTTTTTGTACATCTTAAAACTACATTCTTTCTAAGGAGGCTGAAGATGAAAAAAAAAAAAAAAGAACTCAGGAAGCAATAAATTAGCTGTTCTTCTAGAGGCCTGGCTGGGTAATGGCATGAAGAGCACAGCTCTTGCTGTGAGGCCAGAGGATTAATATCTTCCCTTGGGTGGTACGGAGACAAGGTCATCAGTTCTATTCCAGCCCACCTGAGATGGGGAAGTTTGTGGAAGTCGTGGAAGCTGTGATAGTGGGCAGCCACCTGTGCAGATTCTTAGCCAACCTAATATTTGTTTAGCATTCCATTTTTAGGAGCTACAAGATGTTTTTTCTCCATTTTTCATGGTGAGAACTCTTTTTGCTCTTAGAAATTACACATTTAATTTTCATTCCCTTGGCGAGCATTTTCAGGCTTTAAATATCTGTTGCAATATGCAGCCTTACGTATATTTCTAGAATCTCTTGCTCCTTCAACATCTGTTTCCTGAGTGTCCTATACCCTTTAATTTCATTAGTAAATTCCGTTTCAGTCAAGTTTTCTATTTGTAAAATGTTGACAGTGAGTGGTACCTTTAATTCTTAAACCATCCTCTCAGTGGCGTGAAAACAGGCCCCCTGTTTCAGATGGACGTTCATGTTGTGGATCTAGTCAGAAGTCCCAGTTCAGTGAGACAGAGCTATAGAATTTCCACAATTGCAATACAATGATCAATACAAAACCAAGCAGATCAACAAGCAGTTCTTGATACGTTTCTCTTTTTCATTTTAAGCACGATGTGAGACTTCTTTTTCCTTTGCTTGCCAAAGTGCTTTGTCCCTCTTGCTAAACTATCTTCACTTCTTTCAAGATTTTAGATGTTAGGGTGGTGTCTGTTTGTGCTAGAGTGGCGGTCTACAGAATTATATTTGATCGTGTCTGTGCAATTTAACTATCAAGACAAGATCTGAGTTGGAAAAGATGACAGCCAGAAAGAGTGAACATTCCTAGTGTTTTACCAGGCTTAGGAGAGTCCTATGACTGACGGTGGGGAAAGCACAGTTGTTCAGCCAACGTTGCACACTGCTCAGTTCTCCTTCACTGCACTGCCTCCCCAAATCCCACTGCTGAATTTAACTTTTTAAAGTCTATATTTACTGGCAGCTGGCCTAGATTACCAATTCTGGAAGAGTTCCCTCCCTGGGCTTTTCTGTTCTATATTTTTAATTTATATAGTTTCCAGAAGAAATCATTAATTTTACTACAATGAACTTAACTGAGATGTGAAAGATTGGTTTTTTTCATATGTACTTTTCACCCACTTAATGACCACTAGGAAAACCTTTTGAGACAAATAATTCTTAAAATCATGCTGAAAGAAGTAAAATATAACTCGGTGGTAAGACTGGTCTCATCATGGAGAGTGACAGAAATTTTGAGCCTGATCATTTTGGAAACTGACCAAATAGAGACTGATAATTTCTGGAAGTTTTGTTTTGTTCCAAGGAAAGAAAGGCTTTTGTGCTAGGCATAGTTCATCTAAATGAGCTGAATTGCTAAAAAGGAGAGTTAAGAGGGACTTGCAGTTAAGAAGTGCCTTTTGCCTATTTAGGACAGCATTGCCAGAATTTGCTGTAGTTAGAAGTGAACAGGATTGTGATGAAGATTGTAGAACTATTAGCCATCTGCAGAAGAAGCAGAAGCATATATGTCTATATATGTGTTTAGACTTACATACATATATATATAATATATATAACTTTGATATCAAAGAAACAAATTGGTTTTACTCTCCATATATCAGTGTGACAGAGAAAGATAAAATGAAGAGGAGTTTTGCAGATTTGCATAGGAATATGCAAATGTCCTATGACACTGCTTTGTTCATGAGAAGAATCGTAGCCTTTTCCCTTTTAATTGGTATTAAAAATTAAGAAGATGGGAGAAGAAGAAACATGAGAGTGCACTGAAAAATAGAAGCTTGCAAACTAACAGGTTGTAAGCACTAATCTGTGTGTTGCAGTAGTCATAACCTAGGTGGGCATTCAGGTGGGATTTGTAGGAAAAAATAAGGCTGTAGCTTTAGAGATTTAAGGCAGATAACTAAATCTTTCATCTAAAGATTTTTTTAATGTAGGAAATAATAACAAACAGTAAAATTTCATATATTATGAACCAGTAAAATAGTCAAGAAAATTTACCATGCTTGATCTGTGAGTAGCCTAAGGAACATTTGAGCCCCATCAAGACTCAGCCTTTAGCATTAGCCCTTTTGGGGAGATCTGTGGCAAAAAGAAGATTAGCTACAGAAAGCAATTCTTCATTTTGATGACTAAAAAACTGAGTAATACTTTTATAGGTTTTGTCTTGTTCTAGGGAAAAGCTATTGTGACAAAATATTCAATTTCATTTTTCACTGAAGGCATATTTAATTTTATAAATATAGGTGTGTCTGAGATATCATTTCCTAGATCTATGTGACAAAATATATTTCTATTTAATAGTTAAAATGTAAAGCTGTTCTATTAAAGATAAGTCTTTCTAATTACTGTATTTCCTTTGGGATAAAAAAATCAACCAGTAAAGAACAAAGTATTTCTTCCCCAAGGCATGTGCTCATTCCTCCTTTACAAATTATCTTCTTATTTATTTTTCCTGTGAAATACTAGTATATTTATTTTACATCTCTGTTCTTTAGGTGTTTCATCTATATGGCTTAATTAGTCAGGTTGTATTTTGAAGTTTGTTGTAATTTATAAAGATTTAACACTGCCCTTATGGAAAATACATAATACATAGAAGAGAAATGTCAAGACAGAAGGAATAATGTTTGAAAATGTGGATGTAACATACCCAGTCAGCTTTTTAATCAATGAGCTACAGAAGTAGGAGGAATACTAGTGTATTTTCCTAAACTAAACCACCAAAAAAGAGACCTTTTTGTAAAAAGAGCAAGTAATGCTTCTAAAACAGTTTTACCATTGCTTTTAACTAACAAATGTATGCAAGGCTTTATACATGTATGGATTGGGCATAGCATATTTTAAACCGTGAAAACTGGTGGTTGTCAAAGCCACCAGCAAGCACATTACTTGCTTTTAAGGAGTACTGACTTTTCTTATGGAAATGCAGAGATTTGTTGAAATATTTGGGTCTAAACATAGGAGTGGGGACCCCTGGTGGTCTAGTGGTTAGGATGCGGCGCTCTCACCGCCGCGGCCCAGGTTCGATTCCCGGTCAGGGAACTCCCCCTGGCAGGTGGAGCTCGTCAGCCCTGTAAGGCCATCCATCTATGAGAAGGTCACTCTGAACAAACCTACGTCCTGAGGACCTCACTGCCATTGTCCAAGCTCGCTTGGCCCCGGCAGATGAACCTTAGGATTAAAGGGTGGGCTCAGTTCAGCACATGCTGTGTCTCACCTAAAAAATCCATTGCGCAGGCTTGAAAGGTAAAAGACCTTTCCCAAAATCTTCGTTCGCGAAGACTGGCCATTATTATTATTAAACATAGGAGTATAGAAACAAAAGGGGAAATCTTGGTCACATACAGTGCTCTGAAATAGCTGACAGGCAAATTCTTTAAACCTTTTATAAACTTATGAAGCATGAGATAAAAAACCCCAGATCTTTTGCCTTTATAGCTTCTTTCTTACTCAGTGTGAAAAATTAGGGTCTTCTAATTGCCAGCCTATGTTTATTCATCATCTGTTTATATCTGCTTGCACCTTTGAAAGACAGTTGTAGATGTGTTTATCTCTAAATTGCTTCTTCTATTTGTTTATTTGTAGAAGCAACCATATACCTATGTTTCTCTGGTTTTGGTAAGTCCTATGTGGTGTGAGGACTGAATCACTGAATCTAAAAATGGTCAGATTTACTACTCTTTTTTTTATGTGGAACATTATTTTTCAACCACAGATGGTTTGGGATTTTTTTTCAGATGAGAAGAATTGAAAATTTGAAATGCAAGGAAAAAAACAGACTCTAAACCATTCTCAAATCAGTGGAAGTTCTGCACTTCATCAATAGACAGACTGTATTTCTGCTTCAGACACAGAGAAGGGATGTTTTTCTCTTTGTTCATTAATGATCATATTTTTTCCTATATTTTTTTCAAAAGATTTTCACCTTTTCCATCTGATGCAACTGTGATGTGTATAATGTTAAAAACTAGGAGGCAGTGTATTATGCACTGATTATAACGTAAATTTCAAACAGGAATGGGACAAACTGTTACATTGAAAGTTGACTTGGATAAAAAATTAGGGGTTTGTTCTTATACATAACATACATTTATAATATACATATATATGCATACAAAAGGAGTATTTTTGAAATCTGTGAGTGATGATTTTTGAGTTTATACCCTTTGGTGTTTTCATGCAATATGTTCTTTAATCAAATGAAAATTTATTTACTTGCATAAAAATATATATGTTAAACATTTCTGAATACAGTCAAGAAACTTACAGGTGACCTTTGAAAAAGAACCACTGTATGATTTGCCTTTGTATTTTACAAAATTCCCAGCAACTATGTGTTGTGCTTCAATGCTTAGACCCCTAAGGCAGTACACCTCTTGGTTTTTATTGCTGCCATGTTTCTTCAAAGAATTCAGTATTTATTCATATGTGGCATTTCTCTGTTTGTTTTTTGAACAAAAATAGCTCAATTTGATGAGCATCAGATGTAGAGTGGTTATTTCCATAGTAAGTTTAAAAACAAATCTGTTTCTAACAATAGATACTGTTTTCTATAGTTTAGATAATTGATGCAGCATGCACTAATGCATTTTCTGAAAATTGTAAGAGGATATTTCACCTAAAGACAGAAGGAGAAAGTGCAGGTTAAAATAGCAGTCTGTTCTTCTGTAATGATAGTATTCTTTAGTCAGCATGCATGTACTTTTTGTCATGGGCTTAAAACATTTATTCTTTATATTTAAAACTGTAAAATCAAAACCAATGTATATTATGACAGGATATCTCTGGATTTCTTAATGAATTTTGGGAAGAACCTGCACCAATCTGGTGTGGGTGGCAAGAATATTCTTTATAAGAGGTTTGATGAACTGGGGCATTATTTAAAGTTACCTCATCCAGGACATTATAGAAAATTAAGCTTAAATATACTTCACTTGCCAGATATTATCAATGACATGATGGCCCTGCATGTTTCTCCTGGGAAGCCAACTTTATGTCTGTTCACTTTACAGACCATAGTTCATTCAAGCAATGTCTAGCCTATCAGCTGATACATAACATTTCGACCCAGTGAAGGTGGCAATTTCTATAGATGTATCTAGAAAGAAGTTGGTGGGACAGAGGTATAAGTCAACAGACTTTTCTGTTTTTCAAATCATGTTCCATATAAACTCAGAGTTGGTCATCAATATTCAGGATGCAGCCATAGGTAAGAGTTCTTCTGCATACACAGAGCACACTTGACCTTTGCCTCTAAATGTGGCAGTTACCTGCCACTTCCATTGTGAGTTTAAGTTGGTTTTTTTCCATTTTTATTTGAGGATAAGCTATCAATCCATGGTCTGAAATTGTCTTCGTAGTCATTGGGTAAGGAGGATTTACCACTGCATTTCATTCTTGACGAGTTCAAAGCATAACTTGATTTAAACAATTAGCTATTAGCCCAGTCACAAATATTCACCTTCTCTCATCTCTCTCTCAGTAGTGCTGTGATCATTGTTATTAAACTCACCCTCACCACCAATTTAAGAAGGTTTTAGGTTAGGTTTTGTTTTTGAAGAAAAAGCCTTCCTTCGGAACTAGTTCCAGTCTTTTGCCCTACAAGTTTTATAGCCTTCAGAATATCCTAAAGCAATCATTTTTTCTGTTTAACTTCACAGACCTAAAAAGAAGCAAAGCAGTCAGAATACAGACGTAAATCTATTTTTTCAAGCAAAGCCACTTTGTGGATTGTTTAGAGATTATTTATGCAAATGGGGGAAATATATTTTTTAAGTTTCATTATTATTACAGGACTCTGCAAAACAAGTCTATATAAACTCTAAATAAAGGGAAAATCAGGACTCAGTAATTATTATGTAGCATCAAATTATTGAAATGCCAGCCAATTTAACTTTACTAGAAGTGCTCACATTTGGTAACTATGGTATTCCATTCTTGATGAATAATATAGATTGCTTCCTTTTAACAGGAGTCTCCCAAAATAAATTCAAGACTGTTAAAAATTTTGCAAACAAAATCTCACATTTAGTTGTTGCCAGGAAGCTGATTGGTGTATCTGTATGGTGAGACCATGGAAAGTTTCTTAGCATACCTTCTTGAAATTACAGTTAACTGTAAAAGAAGCAAAAATAAACTTTGTTCTTCCATTTTTAGTCTCTGAATGACCTTTCTCTTGGTAATTCTCTCAGCTTCTTTGGCTCCTAGCTTTACATTCATCTTAGCAACAGCTTTATTCAAATCATATTCTTCATCTACATGAATATGCTATTATATTCCTGGTCCTGTGCAACAGTATATATTCCTAGCAAGAGGTGCATTGTGTAGTTTCAGTGTGCAAACGTAGAAAGAACTTAGGTCTTTAGTGCACTTTATTATCCAGAACTTGAACTGTTGTGTAGAAGAGCAGCACTACTGCTTAATGCTTGTACAGTGACTCAGTGATAATTAGATATTGCTAGAGAGACTAGTTGTTTTCAGGTTTAAGCCAAGCTGGAGCTAGTTGAGCTGCAGTGGCAGCAGAGTGAACTTGGCAAGCAACATTTTCAGGTTTTAATTTCATTTATTAAATTTCTCAGGTTTCTGATACTACCTTACAGGTGAAATTACTTACAGGACATAAATGAATTGTCAGTCACATTTACAAATTGTTTGTTTGTGAAAGTTGATGAAAAATTTTCTATTCATCAGTGATGAACTTCACATTATAAATGTCTGAAGGAGTTTTCTGTCGTAATATTCTAGAACATTAAGAGTCATAATATTACAGAACATTAGTTCATTATTGATATAATAGCTGCACTTAGTTTAGCATAGTGCTTTTACTACAGTAGAATGTTAATTGACCATGTATGCAGAAATAACCTTAATTTCTGAATCCTCAACTCACTAAAAAATGTCTGAAAAACTATATTAAAGTAAGTCTTGCAAACCCCACTTCTATTTGAATGTAAAACCAGAAAAGACAGATGGACAGCAACCTTGGAATTCAAAATTCTAAAAATTAAACTCAAAGTTAAAATCTCCATATGAGGTCATATAAATATGAAATTAAATACATGTGGCCAGAGGGGAACAAA